TTAGTTGACTTTATAGTTGAAATTATAAAATTGTATAGACTTCCATAAAAAAAAAAACAAAAAATTGTATATAATTTTCAAGATCTCCATAACTCTCGGAATATCGACGGTACTCATCAAGCCTGACTGCGCCCTTTTTCGTATTTTTAAGTGTTAACGTTTTTAATATTGTAATGATTATGCATTTTGTTGCATTTATTAAACCACAAGTCCGTGTTTTTGTTGCTGTTGTAAAGTTATATATTTACATTATTAATTTGCACATTCAATTGATGTGAGATTTTTTCCTTAGTTTTATTAATGAATATTGACATTAACACAAAAAATTTATACTTAACAATATATTGTTATGAGAAGTGTGTTAAAAGAGCACAGTAGCGTTTGAGGTTAAATGAAAATTGATTTTTTTAAAGAATAATTCTACTACACATATATATATATTTATATCTATTATATATATAACCAATGCTCGTTTGGTTTCTTCTTGGTTTCTTCCAGGACATTTAAAAATATATTTTCGTACATGATATATATATGATACATGATATATATATATATATATTTATTTCAAGGCTTCTTTAATTTTTTTTTTCTGCCTATTTAGTAACATTATTTATCCATGACATCCATGGCAAATAGGTTTCAATTTGATATCACTTCTTTACTGCATTTTTATCTCTTTATCTGCAGTATTCTTTTTAGATCTGGATAGTTTGTTATCACTGACTAAGCAAAGTTTATTGTTAGATCCGAAGACTTTTGTAGATGGAGTAGAAGTTTGAAGTGCAATTCTTCAATTTTGCCATTATTCCGATAGACTTGAGGCATGATGGAACATACTTTGCATCTTCAAAGTGAAGATTCATTTTTCTTCAAGTACATTAATAATTTTATGCAACACACGCTATTGATTACTCCTTCTTTTTCAAGATAATTTTTCAATTAAGTTGGCAATATATGAAGACCAAAATCTTACAAGTTAATATTTAAATTTTTAGTTGCATTTATTTGACTGCCGATTTGACATTGAATTATAATAAGGGACCTCTGAGTTATTCATTGCCAAATACAAAATGAAAACATCTTTTTCTAAAATAACTTTAAAGAGCGCTTGGGAGATCAAACCATTCGTTCAGTTCTTTTCAATGTATCAGTTATCTCATCACATAGATTTGTCAACAGTGACGCCAACTATGCGAGTACTGTATCTAGTGTAATACTTGACATGGATATTTAAGGCAACAATATTGAAAATAATAGGTATGAGAAGATAGTATATATATGTTAACAGGGAAGCAATTTAAACGAGATTTAAATCATCTATAGCCTATGATACATTATGAAATACATGAATACAAATAATAATTATCTAAGAAGACATGCATACCATTATTTGTATATCAAAGTAAAAATTTAGCGAGGTATCTAGCTGAATTCGCTGTGACACTCTTAGACATATTGATCTATGGTTCTGTCACTGGATCCCTCGCTGCTTTTTGTGAAACGAAACTCACACAACTGTGTCTTATAAACAGTAATATGTGTATTAAGTCCATTTTGCAAATTGTCTTCATATTCTTATTCAGAAGCAAGTGTACACCCTAGTGTACTTTTACAAGCTTTGACTAACGCTGCACAGTTTCAGAGAAGATCTTTAATCGTCTCGTTCTCTTCCTCGTTATGGTTCTTCTACAAAATGCAACTATAATAGTCCTTGTAGTGGTCTGCCTGGCTATCAGAAAGCGATTTGTTATCACCCCTTACAGAACATTAAGATCACACCAACAAAGCCGGCTTAATGGACCTTTCGGTCCACTTAAAGCGATATTATACGGGATTATTTAGACTTTGAAAGATTCTTTAACTTTTGTTAAACCAAAATCTGAATTCTTTTACATATAAAAAAATTATACATAATTTTAAATAAAGAAAACGATGTAGACTGATTCAAACAACAAAAAAAATATTAATATATTATATTGGATATACTTATACTCAATGGTAGAAAACAAACCTGATGTTGTTTAGAGCTATGTTTAAAATTATTGCTAGCTATCTTCATATATATTAATTACTAGGTTCGATGGGGCTTCCACCTATTCGCTTAGATTATATATAATACTATATAGTATATGTATTATAATAGTTATATATATTATATATACAAAAATATGTATGTATTATATTATAATTTATAACATATCTGGAAAACTCATCAACTTAATGCTCAAAAAAAAATATTACTGTATCTAATATGTTTAAATATGTTTTTAAGAATACCCTCAGAGCCGCTCCTGGCAATCTATACTATGATAAACAATGGCCGAAATGATGTGAAATCGAATTATGAATATCTACAGGCGCAGGTAACGAACTTCTTGAGTTACACAATTGACGTTTGAACGTTAGAAGCTGTCATCCGTTGTTTTTGGTAGTCTTTTCGGTGTTGTAAGTTCGCAGTATTCGTTTTACAGTGAACAGCTGCAGTTGCAAAGAAGTTCACAGCAGATACGAGCAAAAAGTGGCAACAGTTGGGTGCATACGTAAGAGGCCAGAAGAACTCATTTCCCAATTCGAGTATATAAATTTCGTAATTGTTCATAAAATTGTGTTCTGCTCCATACAAATCGAAAAAGTATGTATCAAATGAAATATTTTTAAGTGATTTTTGATTAATATTAGTGTGTATATTTTTTTAAATTTTTTGCATGTGTTTTGGTTGGTTTGTTTTCACTTTTAAAACAACAACAAATTTAGTGAATGTGCTAAAATCGATATTTGCATTCATCAACCTACGTTTCGAAGAGTTTCTTTTTCTGTAAGTAAATTTGTTAAAAGTTAATTTTTTTCAAAATTTTACATATGTATTATATTTTTATTTTTAAACCTAAAAAGAAATAGTTAATTTATGCTAACGATCGAAAGAAAAAATTGTTTGGCGCGAAAATCGAACAGATAATTTGCAGAAGAAGTCAGTGCCGAAGAAATATTTTATCTGTGCAGGTGATATTTTAGTGGTGGTTAAAGTGTGTGGATAAATGGATGAAATCCTGATTGAATTCCTATTTTAGATTAATATATCAACTGAAACTAAAACAAAAAAACATAGTTTTTTAAATATAGCGAAATTTTTTGGAGATGTAGAGTTTAAACTGAAAAAAAACGAACAATAGATAATAGCATTAATGCCACCGAAACTTCTTAGAAAATATCTAGAATTTTAACAAAGGAGTAAAATGGTTTTTAATTAATAGATAATTTTATGGCATTAATTAGAAAAAATAATGTCAGATAATTAGTTACTATGGAAATATCGTAGAAAACATCTAGTACTCGAGCAGAAGAGTCAAATGATTTTTAAAATAATAGATAATTTTATGTCATTATTTGCATAAAAGAATGTTGAACACTTTATTATTACGGGAACATCTTCGAAACTGCATTTTGAACATCCAATTTTTCGCAACTTTTTCAAATACACATTTAAGGCTGTATCTCAAAAATGGCACACTATCAATATTTGCTTATAATGTACTCAAGTACTTTTTAATTTGTCAGCATTGAACATCATACTCTTAAACACTTCTATAAAGAAATACGCAACCGGTAATAAATCACATGATGTAGTTAGCTACTCTACAGATCAATTACTGAAGACAATATAGTCATAGAAAACTTGCAATGCGTAAGTAGAACTGGTTGGCCGACACCAGCATAAACATGATCAGTGCGTTACGATACCAGATTAGAGTTCTTAAAAGCAGTCAATGACCATCTACTTTAATAAAGATATGTGTGTCATTACCAAATTTGTAGAGATAGCACACTTCTCTTAAAACTGGTAGCTTTAAAGAATTTTTTGCATGTTTCCAAGAGAGTCGGAAAGAAATAGAGATAAAGCTTCGGAATTTCCTTATTGCTCGGTTCTTCACATTTCCTGCATGCATTATTGCTGGTAATGTTTACCTCATGCGAATGTTAATGATCTATTGAAATAGCAACCAGTACTCTACAGTTTTTTTGATTACATCGACAACACTGATTTAGTATATTTTTCATTGAATATGTGATTGTATATGATGTCGTTGACTAAGTTAAGTCTCCTGTCCTTCATCTTTTTGAACATGTACTAGTTTAATTTTCTGTATACATTCAACAAAAGCCTAAGTATCACTGCAAGGTTACAACTAATTTTAGCAATATTATAGCCAGGAACCCAATATACACATAGTTCACGTCTATGGGCCAATCTATCAATTATCTCTTCGTAATACAGAAGCAAGATGTCCAAGATGCCCAATATGAAAATATTTGTTTTATAATAGCTTAGCTGTCAACACAGAAGTTTATTTTGCAGTTAGTTATTTTCTCAAAAAAAAATTCAACCTATTTTCTAATAGCGAATAGTTCTACGAGAAACACACTGCAATAAGATTTAACAAGTGGATGATTTTATGAATTTATGTTTTTTCGAAAGATTCTCAAGAACACGTCGTAAAACCCAAAAACCAGAAAGAGTTCTGTTCCAGCCTGACTAAACATATACCATATACCATATATACCATATACCATATGTATATATACATATACATATATGCTATATAGAAATGTAAAGAATATCTTATATATAAATATACAGTATTGGAGTTCTATTGTTTGATCATAGACTTATAAACATTTTATTATTTAAATTTTACATAAGCATGTATCATTAAGATAATGTCTATAGTATTATTTATTTCTTTAATTTATTCCCTAAAATGATAGAATATTTTTCTTATCGCTGCTTATAATTCCATACATTTTGTTTAAGGGCAAAAAAAACATAATTTCTAAATTTAATTTTATATTTCTTAATTTTATTGGATACCTATTTATACATATACCAATTTTCTTTAATAAATAGTCTTTACTATATGTATAAAATATATATGAAAATTAAGATGTTTTGTTTAAAAATAAATATATATATATATATGAATAGCAATAATAAATTCTTATTATTGTATAATTTTTTTAAATCTTAATGCTTCCATTTTCTCTTCATTATAACCCAATATTGTTTTCAACACTTCATCTGTGTGTTCTCCGAGTACGGGTGGAGCCGTACGTGCGTCATTCTTAGCTTCACTAAATACGACCGGTGGACCTACAACTCTCACTTGACCATCTTTCGCATGAGGTAAAGTTTTAACTAAATCAATACCTTTAATATGCTCGTCTTCGAAAACCTCACGTATGCTATTTACTGGCCCAACTGGAAATGAAGCACCTTCGAAACATTGCATCCAATGTTTTGAAGTATTTTTACTCAGTAAATTTGTCAAAAGAGTAACCAATTCTTCACGATTTTTCACACGATCTTTATTTGTTTTGAATTTTTCATGGTCAGCAATTTCATTAATATCAAGCATAGAGCAAAGTTCTTTAAACTGTGCATCACTGCCAGCACCGAGTGTAAGATAACCATCCGCCGTCTTGAAACTTTGATAAGGCACAATACTAGAATGTGCTGTACCCCAACGCTGTGCTTCTAAATCAGCATTTAGATAATTGCTCGCTACATTAATTAATAGCGATACTTGTGTAGAAAATAGATTGACATCAATTTTCTGTCCACGTCCAGTGCGTTGACGTTGTAGTAAAGCTGCCAAAATGGCACCATGTGCATATAAACCTGTCGCAATATCTGTAACTGCTACTCCAACTTTACTTGGTGGTCCATTACGTTCTCCAGTTATATGCAGCAGACCGCCCATAGAGGCCGCAATCACATCATAGCCTGGTCTTTGCGCATAAGGTCCAACTGAACCATAGCCAGTTAAGGAACAATAAATCAAATGTGGTGCAATTGCATGCAATTGCTCATAACCCAAGCCATATTCGTTTAATTTACCAGGTACATAGTTCTCCACTAGCACATCACAAACTTGCGCTAACTCATAAATTACATCTTTACCTTTTTTTAAATCTAAGCAAACGCTTTTCTTATTTCGATTCTGTGCGAGAAAGTAGGTTGCATCTTTACTTACTTTTAAAAATGGTGGACCCCACTTACGTGCCTCATCGCCACCAAAGTATGGACGTTCAATTTTTAACACTTCAGCGCCCATATCGGCCAGTACCATTGTGCAATAGGGACCAGCAATAATACGTGTTAAGTCAAGTATACGAATGCCCTTGAGTGGGTGGAAGTCAGTGACTGTTGGAGAATAAGCCGAGTTGCTGGTATCTGCTGTTGGTTCATTATTGTTGATTTTGGCTGCACAGTTTCTTTTTGGCTGACTGGCATTTACACAAGCCCATAGTGCTTCTTGCGATTGTTTTTTTCCAGCGACGATGTACAACTTACGACAGATATTATGAAAACTTGCGATTGTATTCATTTTTATCTTTTATTTGCTTTACTTTTTAACTTTGCTTGATTAAAGTTGCTATTTATTTTTGCTTCAACAACACAAAATAATCATCTCTTCACGTTTTTCTTCGTCGAGACCTTCCCTGGCACTAACTTGGAATCTCTTTCCATATACTTTGCTTATGGCGTGAACATTTCAAATTGTTAGAGATACAATACTACATAATATGAGCATATATAATATTAACTATAGTTTCTCTTTGTAGAGAGAATTCCCATAAATTATTATCTCCACAGTTTTGGATGAGCAGTTCGATACGAAAATTATTCGCTGTTTTATCTTTTGTTTTGTTCATGTCTTCCAGTCTTTTTTGCATATGGCCTATCAATATACGTATTTTTATTTAATATTATTTATTTTTATAATTTTATATTAATATTTTTTTTGTAAAATTTTTTTATCTAAGATTCTTTTTAATTTATTAATATTTTCTTAGCTTGTTAAAAAAAGTCGGAACAAGTAAATAAAAATGTAAATAAATAAAATGACTTGCAAGTATTTTGATCTTCATTCGGTACGTATTAAGATATTATCTTTATATTTAATAATATTGTAAAGTATTTATAGAAATAAGGCACTTCATTATAAATTACATATTCTCTCAGTGGCATGGTATTACTCTACCCTCTAGGGTAGAGTAATTTATATGAAATAAACTTCTTGTTATGATTCTTTTATGAATGTTTTAATATATATGTATAAAACTTTTATAAACTTTTGTGAATGATTCTGGAACATATTGTCTATATCGGCGACTAAATTCGATCACTAGATGTTCACGGTTAATAAAAACAGTGAAATAATATAGATCAATATAACAATATGTGACTTAATGATGTTCAATTTTTGTCACACAATTTTTGTCAATTACAAAGAAGACATTCTAAACCGACTTTACATACTTACTTGACTATAAAATAATGATAAAAAAAGTGTGGAATGGAAATTATGTTGATTAATGACAGATAGGTCCAAATACTAAACTGTCACTGACCATATAAAATTACAATCTACTCTGACAGTATGGATCATATATGAGTATATATCTAATATATTAAACCATGATATGCCTCATATAAAACTGAAAACTATACCAATAGAGTTTTAAGTACACACTCAGGTCGTCTACAGTACAGTACGAACGAAAAATGTTATCCATTTTTACCTTAAAATTGCAATATAATTTATTCAAAAGTAAACTAAGCCTTTATTGCAAAGGATGACACACGTCTGTAATGGCCAACTAAGCTAAGGTTCAGACTGAGCCATTAGGTGCAAAATACAACATCTTCCAAATATTGAGAAATTTTGTCAACTACTTGTTAGTACATAGCTGACAATAACTCTACGATAATTTAACAAAAGTTGCATTGATTTTCTGTTGATGCAGTTGATTGTAGATTCTTTATGTTTTTGATACGGTCATTTTTTTACTGACGTATCTATCAAGCGTATAAAGAGCCTCATTATTGAAATTATATATGAATTATACATAATACACATTCAGTGGTTCTTAGAAGATCCTTATTGCGAAATTGTGAACCTTAAATTGAAGATATAATGGCTTGGATATCAATTCTATTCTATAGATATAACTAAAGTAATGTATTCTTTTATGTTGTTTATACATATTATTTGATATTTTATATTCTAATTATTTCTCGTTTCAGTGAAAAATACTTTTCAACTTTTTCTGTATACTAGTTCATAGATTATTACAGTATTTTGTTCTGTTTCTACCTTCATAGAAAAAGTGTAGAAAAGTTATTTTGCAAAAGCTATGCCTATTCTGAACAAAAGTCCGCAGCTTCTTTCCATGTTTTTTTATTTATGACCCATTTTACATAAAATATTGTTAGTAGTTTAACTCCCTCACTGGATAAATTCTGTCCGTGGATTCTATACAATTGTTTATCGATTATTCCCATATATTATTTTATGACTAATTTTGTTTGCAAGAACCAAATTATTTTCTTCTTATTGATAAAATTATTGTCATATGGGACTGATTTCACGTAGAAGATCTAATTATTTCTAAATTTCAATAGGAAATATTTCGAGTAGTGATTCCGTACATCACTCCATAAATGCTTTCCTTATTTTGCTATATGACTAATCGACTTCATATTGTTTTTATTGTTTTTATTGTTTTTATGCGAAATAAAACCAATAAAATAAACTACATTTAAGTTAACTAAAATAAATTGTAGATTCTTGAAGTCCTTTTAAATTTGTATTTCCCCAGCCCTTATGAGTCAACTTCTTATGATGGTATACGAGTATATGTATAACAAACATGAGTAATTTTAGATTTAATAAATTACAAGTGGGATTTTTCATTTAAATTTTAAGTATTACTTGGTATCTTGGTAACTTCATTAAATGATAACAAACTCCTTGAGTAAACCAGTTACTTCATGTAGGAAGTAATAATAACAAAATCAAGATTGATAAATGCAATATGGGATTTTTTCATAACATCGCATGTTACTTATAAGCAAGAAGAATTAAACAGAATTTTTTTATTAAATTACATTTGGCTATAATTTAATTGGTTAAGTATATAACATATATATAAAATTAAAAAAATTGAAAATAATTTTTGTATTCAATAAAATATTAATGCTTATGGCTACATTAAGAATCAATTAAAATTTTTTATATATTATATTTTGCATGACACAAACCTTTTCCTGGCTTTCTTAATCGATATCGCGTGGTTGAGAATACAAAATATTCATTATATATTTATAATGCAAAAATTAAAAAATTTTTTAAGAGAAATTATTGCAATTATTACAAATTATTGAGATATTGAGAATTTTTTTAAATGTTGCTAATAAACAAAGAGATATTTCGTTACAAGATCAGTCGATGTCATTTGACAAGATCATTTGACATTTCAAAAGAATTCGTTATGATATATATTACTAAATCGATGAAAATTAAAAATATAATTGCAATTTAAATAAAAATACAAATTAAAATATAATGCATTTAAATTGTTTATTATAAAGAATAGTTTAAATAAAAAAAAACCCTTAAATAAGCAATGTTATTATAAAAAAACCAAATTAAAGTTAAAATATTATTCAATTATAATAATATAAATAGTATTCTATTTACTTATTAATATGGATTATTTAGGAAAGTATTTTGAGCTTGATATGTAATTCTTATAACAATATCACGTTTTTAGATCAATATCACCTCCAAGTTACTTGCAGATACTACCGGATATTTTCAATAAATATCTGTATACAAAAGTTATTATTATGGCTTAGTAATTAATTACATTATTGTAATTGTTTTATTATATAAAAAATTGAACTATATTTTCAAATTACAATCTTAAACTAGTAAATAGTAATTAAAAATTTAATTATGAACTGAGTAACTAAGGTTAAGCTCAATGGAAAAATACGTCACTCTAAATATTTTAAATTTTTCATTAATTAAATTCAAAAGAATTTCTTATTAAAGTTAATATGGGCACGTTTTAACCTTAAGATACGTATTTGACTTCTCTTAGTTGGTATTCGAACCAACTAAACTATGAACTTATTTTATATGAACTAGTAGGTAGAAAAGTATATGAGACGCGAATAATGGTTCATGTGGTGTAATTAATTTATAGGCTATTTGAATTATAATAAATGTACTATACATATATATACATAAAAGGTACAGTTAAATGAGTTAATAAAAAATCAGGCTCTCTGAACGCATTTAACCGAGAAGGAATTTAAATGTTGATTAAATATAACTAAATTTATGGTGTATTAATATAAGAGTGAAACTCACTTTAGCGAGTAGTATTTATCCATGAACTATTAGTTGGTGTTATTATAGACTATTATTGACTATATAGCAACAATTGGTTTGCAGTGATTGTCAGAATAAAATTGTTAAAATTTTTTAGGTATAACTCTAAGACATTAGTGTCGCTCCGTCTATTAATGATATTACGATATTAAATTTATATTCTATTAACAATAAAATCTAAATACATAAGAGTGTTTCTACGATTGGTCCAATTTGATCGGAGTAATTCTGTCTGAGTGATTCCTGTCGAATCTGTTAAGCCCACAGATTATTTACGAGATTTATAAATAGTCTAGAATTGTTTTAGTTGGGCCTTTAGGCGCACAAAAGACATCTTAGGTCGGGGTGCATTCATAGCCTATTAATTGATAAAATTAATAGGAGTAATATCTATATTTATTTTTTATTAAATATCGAATTTCATTTTCAAGTCACTTTCTTCTAGTAGAGATGTCATCAATCTATTTTCTGTAAAAAATCTGAAGTACAAGTACATATATATGATAAAATTAGTGTGTAACATAAAGAGTTATCCACATCTTTACTTTATTGATAGTGGTATGTGAAAAGAAGCTGATATTCATGACGTTATATTATGAGGCGATATTCAAGGCATATGTTTAGTTTAGGGTTTTCCATTTTGCAATATGGATCGTATAATAAGTGCTATTGTGAACGTTGTAGTAGATACATCACATATGAAATTATCTACTGTGAAGATATTCAATTTTGGATTCATATATATCTCAACAAACAAAATTAAGTAACTATCAAAAGATCATTATAGCTTCAAATGTTACTGTATGGTAAGGCATTTAGTCAAAAATTGTGATATATCCACACCTTTTTTAAAATAACGAAAATGTAAAACAATCCATCAATTTTGATCGCTACAGCCAAATAATTATAAATTTTGTTTTATATTTTATTTTAATTTTGTGATTTTACGGGGGCAGTGCTACAAACCACAGGATATCCCGTAAAATACAGAACATTTTAATAAGTCCTATTTAAACACTTAATGGCAAGCTCCAAATATTTTATTGAAATAATAGTTTGGCCAAAATCCCTATGGAAAATTGATAACCCTGTACTTTTTAGCTAATTAAATACAAATGTGAAGTACTTTATTAAATCTAAGAGATATGAGATTTCATCATTAATTTCTACATCAAAGATTAATTTTACATCGAAATAAAAACCAGTCGTTTGTCAAATAAGTCTAATAATGTCATGAAACAATGATACCTCCTCGAATAGTAGTGTTCTTTACAAAGTAAAGAGTAATGCTTAAATAAATACAATTGTACACGAGGACTCATG